ATGAGACTTTGTCGTCGTCGTCGCCGCCGCCGCCACCGCGACGTCGTCGTCGTGGGCTCTACAGACCCCCAAGAGACCCTCCAAGAGACCCCCCACGCAAGGCTCTAAGATGAGACTTTGTCGTCGTCGTCGCCGCCGCCGCCCTGTCCTCGATCCCTCGATCGTGTAAGCGTGGGCTCTACAGACCCTCAAGAGACCCTCCAAGAGAACCCCAAGAGACCCCCCCACGCAAGGCTCTAAGATGAGACTTTGTCGTCGTCGTCGCCGCCGCCGCCGCCACCGCGACGTCGTCGTCGTCGTCGCGCTGTCCTCGAGCCCTCGATCGTGTAAGCGTGGGCTCTGCAGACCCCCAAGAGACCCTCCCAGAGAACCCCCGGAGACCCCCCCACGAGAGGCTCTAAGATGAGACTTTGTCGTCGTCGTCGTCGCCGCCGCCACCGCGACGTCGTCGTCGTCGTCGCGCTGTCCTCGATCACTCGATCGTGAAAGCGTGGGCTCTACAGACCCCCAAGAGACCCTCCAAGAGAACCCCGAGACACCCCACGCAAGGCTCTAAGATGAGACTTTGTCGTCGTCGTCGCCGCCGCCGCCACCGCGACGTCGTCGTCGTCGTCGCGCTGTCCTCGATCACTCGATCGTGAAAGCGTGGGCTCTACAGACCCCCCAGGAGACCCTCCCAGAGAACCCCAAGACACCGCTCCACGCAAGGCTCTAAGATGAGACTTTGTCGTCGTCGTCGCCGCCGCCGCCAGACCGCGCGTGGGCTCTACAGACCCCCAAGAGACCCTCCAAGAGACCCCCCACGCAAGGCTCTAAGATGAGACTTTGTCGTCGTCGTCGCCGCCGCCGCCCTGTCCTCGATCCCTCGATCGTGTAAGCGTGGGCTCTACAGACCCTCAAGAGACCCTCCAAGAGAACCCCAAGAGACCCCCCCACGCAAGGCTCTAAGATGAGACTTTGTCGTCGTCATCGCCGCCGCCGCCGCCACCGCGACGTCGTCGTCGTCGTCGCGCTGTCCTCGAGCCCTCGATCGTGTAAGCGTGGGCTCTGCAGACCCCCAAGAGACCCTCCCAGAGAACCCCCGGAGACCCCCCCACGAGAGGCTCTAAGATGAGACTTTGTCGTCGTCGTCGCCGCCGCCGCCACCGCGACGTGGTCGTCATCGTCGCGCTGTCCTCGATCCCTCGATCGTGTAAGCGTGGGCTCTACAAACCGTCAAGAGACCCTCCAAGAGAACCCCAAGAGACCCCCCCACGCAAGGCTCTAAGATGAGACTTTGTCGTCGTCGTCGTCGCCGCCGCCGCCACCGCGACGTCGTCGTCGTCGTCGCGCTGTCCTCGATCCCTCGATCGTGTAAGCGTGGGCTCTACAGACCCTCCAGAGACCCTCCCAGAGAACCCCAAGAGACCCCCCCACGCAAGGCTCTAAGATGAGACTTTGTCGTCGTGGTGGACGCCGCCGCCACCGCGACGTCGTCGTCGTCGCGCTGTCCTCGACCCGTCGATCATGTAAGCGTGGACTCTACAAACCGTCCAAGAGAACCCCAAGAGACGTCGTCGTCGTCGTCGTCGTCGTCGTCGTCGTCGCCGCTCCCAGAGCCTTCGGGGCCTCTCCTTGGCCCTCCTACGGAAAATCCTGCAAAACCTAGCGAATTAGTCGAGACATCCTCGAAATTCCTGCGCGCTGGACGCGGCACGCGCGAGACATCCTCGGAATTCCTGCGCGCGAGTCTTCCTTTGCATCCAAGTCCTGACCGAACTGATCTGGATCTGAAGCTCGAGCTTCCTGAACACATAGTAGCTGCCCCAGAGCTAATTGACAGGGGGACATGCCAGGAGGACGCGCCGCGAAACGTCCCCAGGGACGCGCCAGGCGACGTGCCAAGGGACGTGCCATGGGGTCGCACCGTAGGCCGTGCCAAGGGGACGCGCTACGGGACATCCTCAAAATTCCTGCGCGCGGGACGTGGCACGCGCGAGACATCTTCCGAATTCCTGCGAGCGGGACGTGAAAACAAGCATTTCGCCTGAGACATCCTCTGAATTCTGGCCCCCCACGAGGCCCCCGCTCGAGACATCCCCAAGTTTGCAGAAACCAGCGTTTCGCTCGAGACATCCTCAACAAATTATGAAAAACAAGCGTTTCGCTCGAGACATCCGGTCAAAATTCTAAGAAATCCTGACAAAACAAACGAATTAGTCGAGACATCCTCGAAATTCCTGCGCGCGGGACGCGGCCCGCGCGATACATCCTTGGAATTCCCGCGAGCGGGACACGAAAACAAGCATTTCGCCTGAGACATCCTCTGAATTCTGGCCCCCCGCTCGAGACATCTCCAAATTTTGCGAAAACCAGCGTTTCGCTCGAGACATCCTCCACAAACTATGTAAAATAAGCGTTTCGCTCGAGACATCCTGCCAAAGTTCTAAGAAATCCTGACAAAACAAGCGAATTAGTCGAGACATCCTCGAAATTCCTGCGCGCGGGACGCGGCACGCGCGAGACATCCTCGGAATTCCTGCGCGCGGGGCGCTTTTCCGAGTCGCGGTCGGGGCTCCAGACCCCGTTATTTTTCGAGGATTCTGCGAAAAACGCTCCGCACCCTCTTTTTTACGAGGGAAAGCGGGGGTCTGCGGACCCCGTTATTTATCGAGGATCCGAGATGGGGGGCGAACTTTCCTCGAGCGGGCACGCACAAAACGCACTTTTTCTAAAACATGATGGACCCACGAACCCGGAAAGGGATATAGACATGTGGAGCATGGCACGTTTTCATGATACCCAACTGGGCAACACCTCACGAAACATCCCACGAGACACCTCACGAAACATCCCACGAGACACCTCACGAAACATTCCACGAGACACCTCACGAAACATTCCACGAGACACCCAGCGAAACATTCCACGAGACACCCCACGAAACATTCCACGACGACAGGCAACCACTCAACCAAGGCGGTGTGGTCGTGCTGGGGAGTGGTCGTGCTGGGGTGTGGTCGTGCTGGGGGGTGGTCGTGCTGGGGCGTGGTCGTGCTGGGGGGGTGGTCGTGCTGGGGGGTGGTTGTGCTGGGGCGTGGTCGTGCTGGGGCGTGGTCGTGCTGGGGCGTGGTCGTGCTGGGGTGTGGTCGTGCTGTGGTGAGGTCGTGCTGGGGTGTGGTCGTGCTGGGGTGTGGTGCTGGGGTGGTCGTGCTGGGGTGGGGTCGTGCTGGGGTCGTGGTCGTGCTGTGGGGTGTGGTCGTGCTGGGGTGTGGTCGTGCTGGGTAGTGGTCGTGCTGGGGTGTGGTCGTGCTGGGGGGTGGTCGTGCTGGGGGGTGGTCGTGCTGGGGGGTGGTCGTGCTGGGGGGTGGTCGTGCTGGGGCGTGGTCGTGCTGGGGCGTGGTCGTGCTGGGGCGTGGTCGTGCTGGGGTGTGGTCGTGCTGTGGTGAGGTCGTGCTGGGGTGTGGTCGTGCTGGGGTGTGGTCTTGCTGGGGTAGGGTCGTGCTGGGGTCGGGTCGTGCTGGGGTGTGGTCGTGCTGGGGTATGGTCGTGCTGGGGTGGGGTCGTGCTGGGGTGGGGTCGTGCTGGGGTCTGGTCGTGCTGGGGTGTGGTCGTGCTGGGGTATGGTCGTGCTAGGGTGGGGTCGTGCATTTCGCTCGAGACATCCTGCCAAAATTCCAGGAAATCGTACAAAAACAAAGGAATTAGTCGAGACATCATCGAAATTCCTTCGCGCGGGGCGCTTTTCCGCGTCGCGGTCGGCTCTGCAAAACAAGCGTTTCGCTCGAGACATCCTCGGCAAACTCTGCGGAGCAAGCGTTTCGCTCGAGACATCCTCAACACACGAAAAAGTGGCCCGCACCCTGTGATTTATCGATCGGGATTTCAAAAACAAGCGTTTCGCTCGAGACATCCTCAAATTTTAATTCGCCGGCCTCCTTCGACCTCGTTATTTATCAGGGAAAAAATTCGCCGGCCTCCTTCAAGTTGGCACCGGGGGACAGGTTTACCTACTAAAAGAGAACCCTGGGCTCATGCCCTTTCCGGGAAAAAAATCAGCACTTTACCTCGTTATTTATCGCAAATAATTTCGCCGGCGCTTGACCCGTCAGATCCGGGGGTAAACGGCTAAAAGAGAACCCTGGGCCCGCGCCCTTTCCGGGAAAAATTGAAACGCCAGGGTCTCAAGGTTTTGTTCATGGGCCGAGGGCCGAGGGGGTCTGGTCGGGGAGACGTAAGACCCGCTTCCAACAGCCCACGGAAACTGGACCGTCAAAATCCAGGACGCGCTCGTCCAAAAGCATTGGCAAACCCGAGTTCCGGCGTTCTCGAATTTTAAATCGGGAACCACCAAACGGGGGGTGATCCTGAGGGGGGGCGAACTGCAGCAAACAGATGCCCCACCGATCGGCAACTATCGGAAGCCGCCGGCGGCTGGGGGCATCTGTTTTGGGCGGTTCTGTGCAAAGGCCGATCGAACCCACACCCCCCCTGGGCCCCCCCCTTTGCGGGATCCCGATGAAGTTTAGGTCGGGCATGTCCTCCTACAGGCGGTTTTTGGGCGGAATTGTAAAACTCGAGAATCATTCACAAATAATATAACATGCTAGAACAATCGTCCCCAGAGTGTTTCTGGACTGTTTTTGATGTTCCCCCTGTAGAGGGATACGCCCGACTTAAGATCCCAGAGATCCTATGTCGTGTTTTTTTCAATGATGGGTCCCCGGAAGTCTCGACCCATTCCCCAGGACCGCTTTTTCATTCTGAGTCGTTTTTGGACGGTCCCGAGACCCGGCGAGGGCCGCTAGAGGCCGACAATCGAGAAACACCTCCGTCGTGATTTTCTTCATCACGTTGGAGGTCTGGGATTCAGTTTCCCCGATCTGGGGAGGAAGCTGCCCACACGGCCCGTGCCGATCGCACCCCCCCGGGGAGGGCGGCCGCTTCTCGGCGCGGGGAGGCCTCTGCAGAGGCGGCGGCCGGCGCACGCTGGAAGGGGCGGGGGGCGCGCGCGGCGCCCGTCACCGCAGCGTCGAGTTGACGAGGTCGAAGGCCTCCTGTCAGCGGGCGGAGATCAATGGGGGCCCACACACACAGATAAGAAAGCACAACTCCCAGGACTCCCCATGCTTTCCAACGTACTTCCTGGGTGCTCGTCTCCCCCCCCCCCACTTCCCAGGTCTTCCCACACTTTCCTGGGAGTCGACGATTCATTGTGTCTGTGTGTTTTCTCCACTCCTGCGACCAGCGGTACAACATATAATCTTTTTAGCCGTCGGGGGCGCCTGTCCCAGGGCGGCTGGAGAGTTTCATTACCCCTACGGTGGCACGTCAGGGTGTAAACTCTCCCGCCGCTCTGGGACAAGCGCCCCCGCTGACGGGAACACGTATTTTTTATACCGTTCTTCGCCGCCTGCTAATCCTTGACCCTCTGGAACTCCTCCTTCGCCTCCTCCTGTCGCCCGTGATTCTGCATCTTGTCCGGATGCGTCTCCATGGCCGCCTTCCGGTAGGCGGCCCGCAGCTCGGCCGCCGCGCCGGGGGCGGCGGGGTTGAAGGTCATCCGCAGGCCGAGCAGCCACAGGGCCCTTGCCCGCCGGTTGACGCAGTGGGACGGCGGCACACGGCGCTCCCACACGGTGGAGTTCGCGTGGAGGAACCAGTCCTTGGGCGTCACTGGACGGGGGGGCGAGACAGGGGGGGGAGGAGGAGGCGTGCAACTCTTGAGCCCCTGGTGGGCCCTCAGGGTGCGCCCCCCCCTCCTCGCCCCCGTGGCGCCCTGCCCCCCCCCCTTGCGCAACCCCCGAAGTCCCCCGCGCGAGAGTGAGCTGGGGGCCTGTGCTCCTGCGCCAGGCGCCCGCCCGCCGCGGCGCCGGGCCCCCCGAGCGCTGCGCCGGCCGAGCGGGGCGTTGCTCGCGGGTCCGCGCCCGCGCGGCCGCCCCGCAGCAGGCCGATGAGGTCCTCCCGGGTCGTGCAGCCCGCGGTGTCGAGGCAGCGGCGGCGGCACTCCTGAGCATCGCCTGGCCGATCCCTGCTCCCACCCAGACCTCCAGCGCCTCCAGGAGCTCCAGGCGGAGGTGCTGCTCGCAGCCTCCGCCCGCCCCTGGGCGGCCGACGACGAGCGCGGCCTGGGCCCCGCTCGCCGACCCACCCCTCTGCAGATGGTGAGGTCGGCTGTCCCCCTCGAGGCTCGAAGGGCCCATCTCCAGGATCGGGTCGGGCTGGGGATGGGGATCGGTTGGGCGATACTGCGCTCCTCCAGCAGCTCCCTGGCCGAGCGGCCGCCGAGGTCCTCCGCGCCTGCGCCCGCGGCGCCGGGGGCCCCGGCGTCGGGGCCCGCTCCGCGCGGCCCGGCGGGCGCGCCGCCGCCGCCCTCGCGGAGCAGGCTGGCGGCCTGCTGCGCCGCCTCGGTGTGTCCGAGCCCAGCAGCTTCGGCCTCCGCCACGGCCTCGGCCAGCAGCGCGTGCTCGCCAGCCTCGACTGCAAACCTCAGCCGTCTCTCCACCTCGGCGGATTGGCCGCCCTCCGCCGGCGGCGCCTGGCCGCCTTCGCTCGACTGCCCGGGTCCGTCGCGTGGCCTCCGCCGGCCGCTCGGCCTTGCGGTGACGGTCACGGGGCCGCCTGCGCACTGTCCCTCAGCGCCCGCGCAGGCCAGGTCCTCCAGGGTCGAGACCAGGTCGTCGGGCACGGACAGGCCGAAGGCCTTCGCCTGCTCGAGCCACACCTGGGAGCCCTCCACGTCGCTGGCCACGAGTGAGTCCAGCAGGCAGCGCCAGGTGAGGGCGGCCTCCTCCGAGGAGCACAGCTCGCGGGCCGCGTGCTCCAGCGAGGGGGACACGCCGCAGACCTGCTTTGCCTCCTCCAGGGCCGCGACGAGCTGCTGCACCTCGCCCATCTCTGCGGCCAGGAGGACCAGTGCCTGGATGTGCAGCAGCTTGTCGGCCGCGGCCCCGCGCAGCGTGGGCTTCGCGGCCGACTTCCACAGCACCTTCTGCATCTCCACCTCCTCGCTGAGCCTCTCCCGAAGAGAACGTGTCGAGGACTTCGTGGCGCTCAGCGTCAGCCGCACCATCTCCACGAACTCGCTCAGGCGCTCTCGCCTTGGGTCTGGCTCCGTTGGAGCGCCGGAGGGCCGCACGAGCAGCTCCTGGCCTGGCTGGCACCTCGGCGGCAGCACCACGTCCACCAGCCCGCCGCTGGGGGCCTCTTCGGTGGCAACTCGTGGGAGCCTCCCATACCATCTTGTTGGTTATTGCGAACCCACGCTGATCGACGCTCCTCGACGCTGAATCGATGCTCATCGACGTGAGAACGGCGTCTTCTCATGGTCAGCAGATGCTGGTGCACGCTAGTGCGCTCTAAAGACAGACCTCCGAGGACATACAAGGCTCCCGTGCCCTGTCGGCTACATGCAAGAGTGACCCTGGTTAAGAGTGACCTTTGGAGCGCGGCTTTCTGGGGGCCGCGTGGACACCCACCACAAGCGCGCAATACGCCACTGCCGCATCGCGCTCGGCGATCGGGGGACCCTCTCTGCGCCCGCACCAAAGATCACTCTGGCGAAAGGTCACTCCTGCGTCTACAGTGGAGGCCAGTCCACAAGAAACCTTCCACAAGAAACCCAACCCTGAGACCCCAGGACGTCCGTTGTTTCTTGGCGTGGGAACGTCACGCTCTCCACCGCCAAACCACCGACGCCCGCGAAACCCAGGGGCACCCTGGAGGCAAGCAGGGTGCTTCTTGGCATGGGCCTCCACTGCAAAATCGCACCCGCCACCGGGGGCCTCCACCCGGATGCTCTGCCCCGGCACGCAGCCGTCGGGGACCCGCACGGGGAAGCACGCGCCACCCCCTGCTCGGGAGCGGCCAAGAGGGGGGTGTCCAAGAGGGGGGGGTGCAAATCATGACCGGCGGCATGTGCGCGGCCCAGCGGGGGGGTCAGGGACGTAATGAAATAAGAAGAGGCGCCATGAAATCTGGGGAAATATCATGGCCCCCGCCATGATATCCCCCCCCCCTAGTCATCACCCCCCCTCATTTCCGCCCCCGACCTGCATCTCCCAGACCTCCGCCGCCCGGCCGGTGAGGCCTGCCCGGCCCGCTCGCCGCGCCCCGGTCGGCCCTCCTGCGGCCCGCGGGGGGGGTCCTCCTGCAGGGCATCGTCGGCGTCCGCACGTCGCCGGCGTCGGGCTCGCGGTCCTCTAGACTCTCCTCCTCCTCCTCCTCCTCCTCCTCCTCCTCCTATGTCCCTAAGATCGACAAGCCCAGGGCGACGACAATCTCCGGGGTGCGCCCCCCCAGAAACTGAGGGACTTCGTGAGTGCTGCCAACCATGGGGAGAGGGGTGTGTTCCAGGCTGGCCTTAGGTCGGGCATGTCCCCCTACAGGCCGACTTGGGACGAACACTCAAATATAGCCAAAAGTATTCACACATGGCTAAGGAGACAGTCAAAACATCGTCCCCAGACTATTATTTTACCACTTTTGAGTCTTCCTCCCGTCGAGGGACAGGCCCGACTTCAGGCTGGTGGGGTCCGCCTCGCGGCCGCCGCCCCGCAGGCAGGCGAAGAACCCCATGCCCGCGGCGAGCCGCGCAGGGGGGCCTCCTGCCTTTGAGCCTCCAGTGGGCACGTTTCGGTCAACCCTGTCGTGTGGAAGAC